GCAAACGCGCACAAAAGCGCAAACGTGAAATAAATGATCGTTTATGAGGCAGATAGAGGCAATAAGCGCAGCCCTGCGTGATAATTAATTGTGTTTGTGCACGCCAGTGTGCGCGTGCACAGGCGAGCGTGTATGAGCCGCGTGCTCACGAGAGCAATTTGGTTGATGTGGATTTATGTGGATGTGAGGCTTATGCAGAACTAAATGATTTTAATTATCAGACAGCCTCAATTGAACAATCACAAGCTGTGGCACTGGTGATTACAATCCTCATATTGAGTGAAGACCTGCTGGGTTTATTTCTAAATCTTAATAGAGTCCAAGTTATATGATGGGAAGCCACACACAAAAGTCGCATATGTGGCTTGGAGAGCGCTTCACCATTTTAGCATCAGATCAAATGAACACAGCGTGCTAAACAGAGATACTTTATGAGAGCTTTTTATAGTGTAACTGGTGACATCAGTAATAATCTTTGCTTTGCCTGATTTGAACTGATTCAAAGCAGGCTGAGTGAGAAGGCAGTTAAAGCGCTTGAGAATAAAGTGTTGTATGAGTATGTGTGAAAAGGGAAATGTTGCTTGTACTGAAAAGTGCTTTGAGTAATTCGAAATATTGCTTTAGCATATTATCCCGTAAAATGTTTTTTATTTTAGCTGTCATGTTTTAAGTAAGTAAAAATAATGCAGATCATTTCAAGAACCAAAGGGGCAAATTTGTTTGCTCCTGTCTGATGTGCTAACTGTAAGTCTGCTCGAGCAGTGCTACTTTAAGTTAAATGCTAAAACGCTTGACACAGTAAAGTTTTGCAACTTTAATATTAGTAGCGTTAGCTTAACATTTTCCCCATCTATCATTTACTAATTAGTGTACTGTTTTGTATGCTAATTACTTCCCTATAACTAAGCAATGCTATTAATTTGACAACATTTTTACACAAATGTTGGTGACACTGAAATTCAGACTCAGTGACGGTGTTTTTTTGGAGAAGTGAGCAAAAAAGCTATAACTGCTGACCCTGTGGGGGACCTCAGGATTGCTGCTGTATTTTGTGGTTGCTCATATAACAGAGGAGCTCTCAAATT